AGAGAGAGAGAGAGAGAGAGAGAGAGAGAGAGAGAGAGAGCATGTGCATAGCTGAAGGATAAAAACAAAAATCACATTGCCAGGCAAGGGAAACTTCCCTTTGAATTGTTGGTCAGGATAGCCCAAGAGTCTCTCAAAATAATACAAGCTATTGCCACAACCTTCAATTGCCTCCTAGAACTTGAAATTACCACCCTATTGCTGAAGACATGACATACTTCAGACATAGGACTTGGAGCAATGGAGCTGGAACTGACCTGGAGTCCTCCTCCCTGAAGAATAGCTCTCATAACATCAGAAGCTAATATGTAAGCTGCGAAGGGAGAAAATCAATCAGTGGTCTCACCCAGCTATAAAACCTATGAACCACAACAATGAATGACCCAGCCAATTATTTCTATTGGTGCAATAGTGGCACTTTTACCTTGGGGGTTAATCAATAGCTGTCTAATTGAACTTAAGTCCTGCTCAATAGGAAGGAATTCATTAACGGTACTGTAAACAGTCAAGTATATATGTTTGGAAAGTTCATTGACCATAGAGAAGAATCTACAAGTGACTGTGAGTTTCCCAGCCCTGAGTGACACATTGACAATGCAACCTCTAAGCCCAAGGCTCAGGGAACATTATGGAAGAGGGGGAGAAAAATTATAAGAGCCAATGGGACAAGACATCTGCTGCTAGTTAATGCATCCTAGACTTGATAGGGAAGTATCCATGAAATCTCCACATTATAGTAGCTTAACAAATTCTACGTAATGACAAAACCAGTTGACATGCCAATGTAGATGGGGAAAATTTCACATGGTCCTGCCAAGATGAAGAGCTATAGGTGATAAATGAATGCTGAGGGAGGGAGAATCTGTTTTCTCCTAGGACTAGCTCCCTGAGAGGTTATTTAATCCCAAGTGGGCAGCCCTAGACACATGTACGTACACATGAGCACCAGTAAATTTACACAATGAACTGTATATATATTTATGAATTTGTGGATATATATGTAACAATAAAAATCTAAGAAGAGATCAAGAGTTTGTGAGGGAGTGGTGGAATATGGGAGGAGTTGGAGGGGGATGGGGAGGGGTGATAATAATGTGAAGACTATTCTCATGTATGAAATTCTCAAGAAATTTTAATTATATTTTTAAAATTCAAAAACAATCTTTTATATTGAATTTGTTTTATTTACATTTTACAGAAACCTGATTGGGGCTAAGTATGCAAGTCCAGTAATAATTTCCCCCAAATGTACATAACAATGCCAGAATTATTTGAACGCAACTAGTATTAAATTTTTGTTTTGCATAAAACATGCATTAATAGCTGGGTATGGTATCACACGCCTTTAATCTCATCACTTGGGAGGTAGAGGCAGGTGGATCTCTGTGAGTTCAAGGCCAGCCTGGTCCACATAGTGAGTTCCAGGACAGCTGGGCCTACAGGGAGACCCTGTCTCAAAAAGACCAAAAAAAAAAAAAAAAACCCAGCATGCATTAATATCAACTGCCCTTGTCAGTGAAAACCAGTCATTACAAGAAGAAACAGCTCAATACAGCCAATAAGAAAACTAATTGTTTACAGGTACAAGAGGTTTTTCCAGTTAATATAGAGGTGTATCTTTTATAAACAAGCCATCCAGCACTGGGGTTTGTACTTCTATTACTAATGCACTGTCACTGACTTGATTCTGACCTGTCACAGGAAGCAAGGAATATTTTGGTAGTTAATCAGACATCTTGGAGGATTAAGGACATGATGGTGCACCATGATTAAAACTTTGAAGGAATTCAAAATGTCCTCAAATTTGGAGATTCCCAAACTGTAGATACCTGAAATTTTTACCTGAGCCCTGTCCAGGCTAGTTCATCACACAGGATCTTCAAAAGACCACAGTCATTAAAAAAGTGTAAGGTATTTCTTAGCCATTTTTATTTCTTCTTTTGTGAGCTC